TACACATATGTATAATAATCAGTTATAATAGGAGGTGCGGGATTACCAAAACTGTTGTCCAGAGGGCTGAGGAAGGGTTGTTGAGGTGGTTCGGACATGTAGAGAGAATGGAGCGAAACAGAATGACTTCAAGAGTGTATCAGTCTGTAGTGGAAGGAAGGCGGGGTAGGGGTCGGCCTAGGAAAGGTTGGAGAGAGGGGGTAAAGGAGGTTTTGTGTGCGAGGGGCTTGGACTTCCAGCAGGCATGCGTGAGCGTGTTTGATAGGAGTGAATGGAGACAAATGGTTTTTAATACTTGACGTGCTGTTGGAGTGTGAGCAAAGTAACATTTATGAAGGGGTTCAGGGAAACCGGCAGGCCGGACTTGAGTCCTGGAGATGGGAAGTACAGTGCCTGCACTCTGAAGGAGGGGTGTTAATGCTGCAGTTTAAAAACTGTAGTGTAAAGCACCCTTCTGGCAAGACAGTGATGGAGTGAATGATGGTGAAAGTTTTTCTTTTTCGGGCCACCCTGTCTTGGTGGGAATCGGCCAGTGTGATAATAAATAATAATAAAATAATAATGTAGGTATGTAATCCACTTGGGCTACACACCTATACCTACCTACATACCTACACGATATTTAATGTGGCCCAGAGCTATATTATTACCATCGACATACCATGTTCACCGAGTTTGATCGTTTCTAACAACTACCTTTAGATGCCATCATAAACAAACAATTCATGCCAAGAATTGTAAACAAAAGCGTTATAAATGGGAGTGACGTAATGTTTTCTCTCTCTGCCCGGATACCACACCTCAATATTAAATAAACATAAAATGTTTATATTCTATATGTTTCTTATATAATTTTGAAGAAAATATCATAGATGGAGTAATGAAAATGTCTATATTAATGTAAAATAAGATATTTATTGTGCCCAAAAGTGATTATTATGTATTAGTATTATGTAATGTTTTCCCTACGCCCAGCAACCACACCTCCACAGCATAAAACAGCATGTTTATACGCTATGTAACGTGTTTCTTATATAATTTTGAAGAAAATATCATAGATGGATTAATGAAAATGTCTATACTGACATAAAATATGACATTTAATGTGCCCAAGAGTGATTATTATTACATAATAGAGAGATGTGCTCATGGAAAATGTAAACAAACCTGGTGGCACACACCATATTTGAGAGACCACTCGCCGTATAGAAAATTTTGGTCATAATTTGAGATTGCCATATTAGCAAAACACCATAAGGCGAAATGCCGAAAAGCGAGGCCCTACTGTATATATATTATTACACCTACCATCCGACTTACGACCAAGTTCGGTTCCGAGAAACCGGTCATAAGTTGAAATGGACGTAAGTCGAACTTTACTACTGAATATCAACATCACATTTTTGTAATGACTTTATTTTCTTATTTTATTTTTGTATTTCATGTTTTACTTTACTTTTTATGCTGTTAGTACTGTATTTTATACTGTAAGGTTTAGGATAAACACTGTGTACAACACAAATAGTTGTTTATTTCCCAGAAATTTGGCAAAAAAAACACGGTCGTAAGTCAAGTGGTCATAAGTCGAGCAGGTCGTAAGTTGGATGGTAGGTGTATTATGGTAGCTGGTGTTGAAGCCACCACACCTGACTTCCTACAATAAATATTACTCACCTCTCACCCTACATTAAGACTACAAGTGCAGTGGTACTCCAAGTTTCATACAGCTGCCAACTTGAACAATTATTTAAGTGTACATATTATTGTAAGTGCTTTTGTCAGTGTCTTTTTGGGGGTCTGAAACGGACTAATCTAATTTACATTATTCCTTATGGGAACATATTCGTTTGGTAACGGCACTCGAACAGCCTTCTGGAACGAATTATGGCGAAAACTCGGGGTACCACTGTATTTTAAAGTAATGAATGTACTGTGTATGTACGGTATTTTATTTTTTATTATTTTTTAATGGCTAGTTTTACTGTTAACTTAATATATGTTGGTGTAAACTCATTATCTGACATTTATGTGCATTTATAAGTGGAAAAAATGGTGTTCTGCTATACAGCAGTAGCCTGGAACCTAACCTGCTGTATAAGTGGGGCCCTACCACTTATATAGCAGGTGAGGTATTGCTGGAAAGCAGAACGTGATTTTTTCCACCTATAAATGCATACAAATGCCAGATAACAAGTTTACACTAACATGTATTAAGTTAGCAATAGAATTAGGCATTAAAAACAATAAAAAGTAAAATACACACACAGTACACTCATTATTTACCTCAAAATATTTGTAGTCTTAATGTAAGGCAAAAGGTGAGTAGCATTTACTGTAAGAAGTCAGGTGTAGGAGGTATGGTAGCCCTCCTGGCCACCCCACCCACAAATAATATACTACGACGATGCTTAAAGTGATAAAGTTCATATACAGTACACTCATTTCTTACTTAAATTATTTGTAGTCTTAATGGTCTTAATGTAGGGTAAGAGGTAAAAAGTACAGTGGACCCCCGGTTAACGATATTTTTTCACTCCAGAAGTATGTTCAGGTGCCAGTACTGACCGAATTTGTTCCCATAAGGAATATTGTGAAGTAGATTAGTCCATTTCAGACCCCCAAACATACACGTACAAACGCACTTACATAATTGGTCGCATTCGGAGGTGATCGTTATGTGGGGGTCCACTGTATTTATTTATAGAAAGTCATGTGGGAGGTAGGGTAGGGAAGCCCGCCTGGCCACCCCACCTACTATGTAAACAAATGGACAAAGTATCTGTTTATGGTTCATAAACATTCATACTTGTACAAACACCTTACATTGTGTACAAGTTGTTTCAACAGTGGTACAGTAGAATAAATAAAGACCAACACTTCCATTCTCATGTAATTTTTAGAAGGAATGATGCTCTGACAAATTATTATTATTATTATTATTATTACAAATTATTATTATTATTACAAAATATTATTACAAGTTATTATTACTACAAGTTATTATTATTATAAGTTGTTATTATAATCATAATAAAAAAGAAGCACTAAACCCACAAGGGTTGTGAATACCTATAGACAGAGTGAAGGCATACGAAAGGAATAAATTTCTAGTTAAGTTACTGGTGTTTGACTAGAGAAAACATAATTTTTCCGACTCTCCTTTGAACCGCTTGGTAAACAAATCTCATATTTATGTCAATTTTTATACTGTGGGTGTATGTATCATGTTTATGTTACGTAGCATGTTTATTATATAATTTTGAAAAAATATCATAGCTGGATTAATGGAAATGTCTATATTAACGTAATATATGACATTTAATGTTCCCATGAGATTATTATTAATATGGCATCTTCAAGAGTAGAGAGACTCTTAGTGATTTTAATGTGTACCTGCACACCAGCACAGCGTGTAAGTATGCAGTGGAACCTCAGGATACGAACTTTTTTCGTTCCAGAAGGCTGCTCGAGTGCCGATATCGAACAAATTTATTCCCATAAGGAATAATGTAAATTAGATTAGTCCGTTTCTGACCCCCAAAAGTACACTTACAAAATCACTTACATAAATACACTTACATAACTGGTCGAGTTTTGAGCTGTTCGTATCCCGAGGTACCACTGTATTTAGGTACAGGTACACATAAGTATAATTTTCAGAGTACGTACATATAAAATATACAATAACTTTAAAACACTTGAAATTTTGGAAAATTTCCAGACATAATAGAGAGATGTGCTCACAGAGAATGTAAACAAACCGGGTGGGGCGCGACGTATTTGAAAGACCGCTAGCCGCATGGCAAATTTTGGTCATAATTTGAAATCGCCATATTAGCAGAATGCCATAAGGCGAAACACCATAAAGCAGGGCCCTACTGTACATTATTATTTTTTTTTTAACAAACCGGCCGTATCCCAACAAGGCGGGGTGGCCCAAAAGGAAAAATGAAAGTGTCTCCTTTGAAATTTAGTAATATATACAGGAGAAGGGGTTACTAGCCCCTTGCTTCCGTCATTTTAGCCGCCTCCTACGACACGCATGACCTACGGAGGAAGAATTCTGTTCCACTTCCCCATGGAGATAAGAGGAAATAAACAAGAACAAGAACTAGAAAGAAAATAGAAGAAAACCCAAAGGGGTATGTATATATATATGCTTGTACATGTATGTGTAGTGTGACCTAAGTGTAAGTAGAAGTAGCAAGATGTACCTGAAATCTTGCATGTTTATAAGACAGAAAAAAGACACCAGCAATCCTACCATCATGTAAAACAATTACAGGTTTCCATTTTACACTCACTTGGCAGGACGGTAGTACCTCCCTGGGCGGTTGCTGTCTACCAACCTACTACCTAGGTATATTATTTTTATTATATATTATTATTATATGTATTTAACAAGCTGGCTGTCTCCCACTGAAGCAGGGTAACCCAAAAAAGAAACACTTTCACCATCATTCACACTATCACTATCTTGCCATAGACATGCAGATGTCATTTCAAACAGCAAATATCTCAAACCCCTAATTTAGAAGAAAAACAATTCTTCCTCTATAAGGCAATTAAAATCCCAGGAGCAAAGGCTTTACTGGCCCTTTGCTAAATGTAAACAAGAAGTAAAGCTGTGCATTTCTTCTTTTTCAGGTCACCCTACATTGGTGGGAGACGGTCATTGTGTTAAAGTATTATTAGAACAATTTTATTTGAAGAGAATAGATCAATGCAAAAGCAAAGAAATGAGTTACCTTGTGTTTTTAATACACATGCTCCTTCCCACCAAGACAGAAAGACCCAAAAAAGAAAACAGTCCTCCTCGCTTGCACACAAGCTGTCTTTTCAATCCAAAGCTGTCTTTTCGATCCAAAGTACTCATAATTCAAAGGTAGCCCACAGAGCCAAAACATCCTCACCTAACTATTTCTTGCATAGTTACACCTAAAGATAAATGACTTTTCATCTAAAATAATCTATTACTGTGTTCGACAATGGGGACTTACCTGTATTATCTCCTATTCTGATGATGTGTGGCCAGTGCTGGAGGGTTTTGGCAAAAAATGGGTTTGTAACCCCAAGAATTACATTGGGCGGAGCTGATGTACGTGTTGTGTACTCCTTAAACTCAGAATCATGGATGGTGAAGAATGGCCGATAATCACCACTAAATTTGAGAGGAGTGATAAGACTGGAAAAAATTAAATGCTAAATTCAGAACTAAGAGAAGTTTTTATACATTACAGTACAGAGAATATTACTTAACATCTAGCTGTTGAAAGTAAATAAAATCACTATACTTGACACCCACACAGTGAACAAAACTAACAGATGAGTTTGATTCAAAGTAGTGAAAAGAAAAGCAATGATAATAAGTCACATTAAATTTCTGTATGAATCACTCTCCATATTATTAATAAGACTTATGGTCCACCATCAACTTTATTTATTTATTTATTTATTTATTTATTTATAATTTGAGCACACATACAGAGGTACAAAAAAATACAGATAAGAGCAGCATGCCAAAGCCACTTATACTATGCATAGCATTACGGGCTGGCTTAAAATTAACTTAAGATTAACTAAGCAATGATGAAATCAGTGAAAAACATTAATGTAAACAGATTACTATAAAGCACAAGTGAGTATTACAAAGACAGGTCATATGGTTGCATGCATTGTTGTAAATTCAGTAGAATGGAGTATTCTGTTAGGTAGTGTATTTAAAAAATAATAAAGTTAGATTGGGTTTTAGGTTTAACATTTATGTGATATAATTGTGAGAAACATTTAAGATATACAATTTATAAGGTTCAGTTATTCAGTATTTATTTGGTTTTGGGTGAGTAAGTGATCTTTGAGAAGAGACTTGAATTTATAAACAGGTAGTGTTTCTTTTATATTTACAGGTAATGAATTCCAACTGATAAAGCCCCTGCTAGATGAAACATCTCTTAATAAAATTCCATGAACTGCATATGCCTGTATATTCTACCATTTATATACAGACATCTTGCTTATTACAAAACAAGTAGCACTACTAACCTGATCAATGTTTGTACAGTGTTTGCAGCAGTTGTTGGAGACATTGCCATAACTACCAAAGGTTCAGCTGTTAATACTAACTCCCATAAGAGGTTCAAGTGTGGTAACACTGGCGCCAGCACACGGAATGCCTGTTCAGAATTATTTTATATACTGTAATTTAAATATGGTAGAATTACTACTGAAAAAATTAGGAGTAAGACAAAGTACGATTATATAGGAACAAAGAGGATTTAGGAAGTGTAGGAGGATGTGTAAACCAAGTGTTTACAATGAAGCATGTGTGTGTGAACAATAGGGTAAGGAACGATGTTGCATTTATGAATTTAGAAAGGACACATACGGTCAATAAATTACATTGGTTCCCTTTAATATCATAACCACAAAATAAGTCATTCCTTGCACTTCAGGACATCCTTCAACCATCTAGGTAGTGATTAACACATATTCTTCAGGGTTATATGGGGCTAAATCTCCCCACAGACGGCGTCCTAAAACCATGGGAGTGGGCTGATCTCTTTTTCCCTGTAAATCTCTCTATCTCAACCCAGAGATTCCCCCCAATGGAGTTCAAGACAGGAGAGTTTCCTGGCCATCCATCAAAGAAGGGTACTTCACAGTCACAAAGCCCCTGAAAAACATACCTCGCACTGTGGCTAGGAGCACTGCTTTGCATAGAAACCATGTCCCACACTGAGTGAAAGATTCAGGCACAAGATAACAAACCAATTTTAGGTACGTTAGTACAGTCAGCATTAGTGGCTATGTTTTTCTAAGCCTCCCTGGATATGCTAACTGGCGTGGGTGTCATGAACATTATCATCAATGAACCAATGCAACCAAGTCCTCACTGAATGCTCAAACTCATCGCTGGCTTCTACTATTTCCTATATTTGACGGCCCATATTAATTCGTCAGAAGCTAAAAATGTTCAACAAATTTCATCCTTAAGACCACAAATTACAGGGAGACCATGGACACAAACCCATCCACCACACAAGCTCAGAAGGCCCTTAAGATGCAGCCAGTTGCCACAGGAAATCCTGAGATGTCCCACTTTGAGTTACCAGAGCAGTATGACTTCTGACAAATGTACCAGGGGAAGGTATTGCTTTGGACATTACATCAGGTGCCTTTCACCCACTGTATTTTAATGACAAACACTGTAGGATGGATATGTGAACATTGCAGTAGATGCTGCAAATGTATAGAATACATGGTAGGTTACCAAAAGCAGCAGAGTTGTTATGCAGAAAAGGAGGCTCAAGTTAATTAATGTAGGAGAGAGGGAGATTTACCAGTAAAAATAGGCCATTGACAAGCAAGTATGATGTAACCATAGTTGTTTAACATATAAAATCAGTAACTACTAAGGTGCTGGAGAGAGATGTGGAATTAAAAGGTAATTAATGTGATACAAAGTGGAAATTGTCACAGTTGGTTTTTGCCAATGACAGTCCTTCTGGGAGATTCTGCACAGAAATTACAAAAGTTACTCAATGAATTAAGAAGAGTAACTAAAATAAGGAAATCAAAACTGAACACACACACACACACACACACACACACACACACACACACACACACACACACACACACACACACACACACACACCACATACCACCACACTACACGCACACACGCACACGCACACATGCACACACGCGCGCGCACACACACACACACACACACACACACACATGCACACACACACACACACACACACACACACACACATGCACACACAAAAAAAAACAGAGAAAAGAGAAACAAAGCCTAGGTAATGAAAGATTGAATATCAGACACGAGTGAAGGGGGGGGGATGGAGGAGGTGAATGAACAGTATTTAGATAGTTAGAATGGACAAGTTGGGAGTGGATAAGTTGGCAGATGGGTTTAACCCTTTCAGGGTTGGTGCCGTACTAGTACAGCTTACACACCAGGGCTAGTGCTGTACTAGTACACATAAATTCTAGCGCCTTCAAATCTAGCGAGAGAAAGCTGGTAGGCCTACATATGAAAGAATGGGTCTATGTGGGCAGTGTGCGCAGTATAAAAATATCTTGCAGCACACAGTGCATAATGCGAAAAAAAAAAAAAACTCCGACCGTGTTTTTGTCTTAAAACAGCAACTTTGCATTGTATTTTCGTATGCTATTTATGGTTGTATTCTAGTTTTCCTGGTCCCATTTTATAGAATGGAAGACATATTATGGAAATTGAGATGAATTTGACCAGTTTCACAGTGAAAAGTACCTTAAAATTGAGCTCAAAGTAGCAGAAATATTCAATTTTTGCCAAAGTTCAAAAGTAAACAAATCATGCCTTCCGTCCAATACACGCCAACTGGTGAGTCTAATACAGTGGACCCCCCGCATACCGCACGCATCGCATACCGTACAATCCGCATACCGCTCGCTTTTTTGCAAAAATTTTGCCTCGCATACCGCCCAAAAACCCGCTCACTGCCCTTCGTCCGAGACGCGTCCAATGTGCGGCCTGAGCCACGCTCACATGTTCCGCCAGTGGCATTGTTTACCAGCCAGCCTCCTCGGTAACATCCAAGCATACAATCGGAACATTTCGTATTATTACATAGTTTTTGGTGATTTTTTCTGGAAAATAAGTGACCATGGGCCCCAAGAAAGCTTCTAGTGCCAACCCTACAGCAATAAGGGTGAGAATTACTATAGAGATGAAGAAAAAGATCATTGATAAGTATGAAAGTGGAGTGCGTGTCTCCGAGCTGGCCAGGTTGTATAATAAACCCCAATCAACCATCGCTACTATTGGTGGTACAGCTGCTGCTGCACTGTCAGCTGCTGCTGCTGTTGTACCACCATCAGCTGCTGCTGCTGCTGCTGTAGTACCGTCTGCTGCTGCTGTAGCATCGTCTGCTGCTGCTGTAGCATCGTCTGCTGCTGCTGTAGCATCGTCTGCTGCTGCTGTAGCATCGTCTGCTGCTGCTGTAGCATCGTCTGCTGCTGCTGTAGCATCATCTGTTGCTGCTGTAGCATCGTCTGCTGCTGCTGTAGCATCATCTGTTGCTGCTGTAGCATCGTCTGCTGCTGCTGTAGCATCATCTGTTGCTGCTGTAGCATCGTCTGCTGCTGCTGTAGCATCGTCTGCTGCTGCTGTAGCATCATCTGTTGTTGCTGTAGCATCGTCTGCTGCTGCTGTAGCATCGTCTGTTGCTGCTGTAGCATCGTCTGTTGCTGCTGTACCACCGTCAGCTGCTGCTGCTGCTGTAGCACCGTTGTTGGTGTGGCTTATTGAGAATATACCAAGAAACAATTAACCCCAGAGGATTTGCCACCCAGGATAACCCAAAAAAGTCAGTGTCATCGAAGACTGTCTAACTTATTTCCATTGGGGTCCTTAATCTTGTCTCCCAGGATGCAACCCACACCAGTCGACTAACACCCAGGTGAACAGAGAAAAATGCCTGGAACTAGTGCTCATACTGGTGAATTTAAAGCCAGCAAAGGTTGGTTTGAGAGATTTAAGAATCGTAGTGGCATACACAGTGTGATAAGGCCTGTTCTGGAAGAAAATGCCAAACAGGACCTACAGTACTCAGGAGGAAAAGGCACTCCCAGGACACAGTGTCTCATCAGTCATTGCTGCATCTTCAATAAAGGTAAGTGTCATTTATTCTTCATTTAGTAGAGTAGTACATGCACAATATATATTGTGCATGTACTACTCTACTATTGTGCATGTATCCTTCTCTTTGTGTGTAGGAAAATGTATATTTCATGTGGTAAAAATTTTTTTTTCATACTTTTGGGTGTCTTGCACGGATTAATTTGATTTCCATTATTTCTTATGGGGAAAATTCATTCGCATACCGAACATTTCGCATAACAACCAGCCCTCTTGCACGGATTAAGGTCGCTATGCGGGGGTCCACTGTATTCTTTCACAATTATTTTATTTTATTATCACACTGGTCGATTCCCACCAAGGCAGGGTGGCCCGAAAAAGAAAAACTTTCATCATCATTCACTCCATAACTGTCTTGCCAGAAGGGTGCTTTACACTACAGTTTTTAAACTGCAACATTAACACCCCTCCTTCAGAGTGCAAGCACTGTACTTCCCATCTCCAGGACTCAAGTCCGGCCTGCCAGTTTCCCTGAACCCCTTCATAAATGTTACTTTGCTCACACTCCAACAGCACGTCAAGTATTAAAAACCATTTGTCTCCATTCACTCCTATCAAACATGCTCACGCATGCCTGCTGGAAGTCCAAGCCCCTCGCACACAAAACCTCCTTTACCCCCTCCCTCCAACCTTTCCTAGGCCGACCCCTACCCCGCCTTCCTTCCACTACAGACTGTTACACTCTTGAAGTCACTCTGTTTCGCTCCATTCTCTCTACATGTCCGAACCACCTCAACAACCCTTCCTCAGCCCTCTGGACAACAGTTTTGGTAATCCAGCACCTCCTCATAACTTCCAAACTACGAATTCTCTGCATTATATTCACACCACACAATGCCCTCAGACATGACATCTCCACTGCCTCCAGCCTTCTCCTCGCTGCAACATTCATCACCAATGCTTCACACCCATATAAGAGTGTTGGTAAAACTATACTCTCATACATTCCCCTCTTTGCCTCCAAGGACAAAGTTCTTTGTCTCCACAGACTCCTAAGTGCACCACTCACCCTTTTCCCCTCATCAATTCTATGATTCACCTCATCTTTCATAGACCCATCCGCTGACACGTCCACTCCCAAATATCTGAATACATTTACCTCTTCCACACTCTCTCCCTCCAATCTGATATCCAATCTTTCATCACCTAATCTTTTTGTTATCCTCATTACCTTACTCTTTCCTGTATTCACTTTTAATTTTCTTCTTTTGCACACCCTACCAAAGTCATCCACCAATCTCTGCAGCTTCTCTTCAGAATCTCCCAAGAGCACAGTGTCATCAGCAAAGAGCAACTGTGACAACTCCCACTTTATGTGTGATTCTTTATCTTTTAACTCCACGCCTCTTGCCAAGACCCTCGCATTTACTTCTCTTACAACCCCATCTATAAATATATTAAACAACCACAGTGACATCACACATCCTTGTCTAAGGCCTACTTTTACTGGGAAATAATTTCCCT